GTCTGTGCTCAGGGTGGTCCCGAATTTTTCGCTTCTTTCTCTACTGATGAGTTCTTGATGGGCTAGTGGTTCACCACTGAGCACCTTGCTACCTGTTTGTGATCACGGAAATTCTCTCTGAGCTACGGAGACGGCAGTAAGGCTAAAAACAGAGCTAAAATCACAGAGGATTATTGATGGACCTCAGAAAACGAACGACAAGGTAGCGAGTAACTAAATAGTGAAGGAAAAAAATGTAGTGGAGCCGCTCAAGGTGCTCTATGTACTACCACTTGCTTTAGCCTGCAAGCTTGCTTGTTCGTGGGAGCTGAGGCAGGGTTGTCAGAATCCTCACTTGTTGTCATCATAACGATATCATTTCTTTCCCCTTAGCACCTCATTCTCACTGTTCAAAATGGGGGAGAGCCAGTAGATTCTCCGGATTGTTGAGCCCCTGATAACTTGCCTGCCAACAAGGTACAGCATCGTTGTCTACACATAGGGGGGAGGGTCGTAATTTTCGGCTGGGGAGGGGGGGGAGGCGTGGAGGAGGTGGCGTTTGGTCGTTGTCGGGAGAGCTGTCGGGAGAGGAGAGGGTATATGGTTTTGAAAGCAAGTTTGCAGAGTTGGAAAAAATTTTTCCCGGTTGTTGACTTTTCGTGATTTTTCATATTTCCCTATACGTTGGAATTGACATTCCTGTTGCGACCCGTACTGGGAATTTGGCGACCCTCCAATTCCATAGCCTCTTATAGGATTTAATCGGCTGTGATAACGCTTCACCCAGCACCAGTAGTGTTCCCGTCCCACACCCTATATCACATGTCGGAATTGACCTTAGACACTGACTTTCTGAAATGAAGTACTTTGCGGACGGATAGACTTTTATACCTACAGGCAAACCGAAAATTATGCATACAGACCGACACACCAAGTTAGTGGTTTATACTTTTCAAACCAAATCGGACACTTTTCAAACCAAATCGGACACTTTTCAAACCAAATCGGACACTTTTCAAATCAAATCGGACACTTTTCAAATCAAATCGGACACACCCCCTACCAAGGGCAGTTGATAACTAGACCACACTAGGTACTGCTGCAAGCCCCGCCCCAACACCCCGCCCACCTTTCCAGCGCGGTCACGGTTTTCCAAAATGTTTTATGAAATCTGCTTCTTCGACTTTTTCTCACTTTTGCTAGTTGCACACACACTTCAACTGAAAAGGATTGGTACCGATACAGATCTGACTCCGCCCACTTCACAATCAAGTGATGTAAGTTCTGAATTTTTATAACTTTCGACGTCGGTTTTTTCACATTCAATCTTCACAAAACGAATATAGCCATGCTTTTACACACTAGCACACTAGGCCCCGCCCCTCTGACCCACTTTCGTTTTTCGCGGAATTTTGATTTTTCTTCCGAATTTTCACTTTTTTAGGCTGTGACAAGCGGCCCCGCCCACTAATGGAAGCTCCCACTTTGTAGAAGCCCCGCCCACTTTTCAAAAATGATGCAGATCGGCGAGCTAGTGACCGTACTAGCAGGTTATGGCCTCTCCCGTCACATAGAATGAAAAAAAGGGAAAGACCACAAAAAAGGGAAACTTTGTTCCGGGTGACGGGAGAGGCCATAACCTGCTAGTACGGTCACTAGCTCGCCGATCTGCATCATTTTTGAAAAGTGGGGCTTTTACAAAGTGGGCGGAGCTTCCATTAGTGGGCGGGCCGCTTGTCACAGCCTAAAAAAGTGAAAATTCGGAAGAAAAATCAAAATTCCGCGAAAAACGAAAGTGGGCGTGGTCAGAGGGGCGGGGCCTAGTGTGCTAGTGTGTAAAAGCATGGCTATATTCGTTTTGTGAAGATTGAATGTGAAAAAACCGACGTCGAAAGAAGTTATAAAAATTCAGAACTTACGTCACTTCGATTGTGAAGTGGGCGGAGTCAGATCTGTATCGGTACCAGTCCTTTTCAGCCGCGCTGGAAAGATGGGCGGGGTGTTGGGGCGGGGCTTGCGGCAGTACCTAGTGTGGTCTAGTTATCAACTGCCTATTGTAAGAGGTGTGTCCGATTTGATTTGAAAAGTGTCCGATTTGGTTTGAAAAGTGTCCGATTTAAAGTGAAAATGTGTTGCAGGAGGGGGGGGGGTGAGAAAAAAAAGACATTTCGACCGAGTCACATATCAGCAAAGTTTTCGCTGCCCAGAGAGAAGACGTGGATACGGGTACCAGGGCGAAAGATACCCAAGATGTTCCTCTATAAGCAGGAGCTGGCTCTCGCCCATCACCTTCATGTACACCAAAATATGAAGTCATCTCCAGCCGCAACCTGACTGGGAAGGCCTTCGGAATTCATGTCACCTCCGAACAGCTGCGAAACTTCTAGTATGGAGTCACCCATAAATAGCTACCTGGAGAGCAGTACTCTCGATCTGGAAGACCTCCATCATCGAGCAGCTCCGTCAACGTCGCTACGGTCTAGGACATCATCTTCACCTCAGTCGCCAAGGCGCCAGTTGATGGTGGGGACCGGACGTACCTGGAATGGAGAGACCGATATTTTCTTCGTGGGCCCCGGACTAAAGGTGAGCGCTGGCGGTTACATCGAGCAACTCGAGAAGAATATCCTCTCCACATGTCGTCGCCCGTACCTTCTTGGAAACTTGTGCTGGCTACAGATTAGTTACACACAGTGAATCAAGGGCGTTCGGGGAGAACTCTTGCCTCTTCGAATTTGAAGGGCGTTGAGAGTACCTGCATAGGGTGGAATACTAAGCGGAACTGACCTAAACCCTCAATTACCTGGTTCGGGAGAGTTCAATAGGGTGGTCTACAGTGGCGGAGAAATCAACGATCTCGCTGAAGCTCACGCACCCACTGACGGTCGCGTGGCAGAATCTCTTCCGATTGGCGCTTCCTCCGAAGAAGGCTGTGGCGGACTATCATAATAGTAAATTCCAAGTCCGACTGTCTCTTAACCTCGGCATCTGCTTTTTATATGTTGTTATAGAGTTTTTTTTTTCCTTGAACCTGCTTAGACGTTCCCGGGAGAACGCCTGAAAACGTCAGACGATAAACTTATAACAACCTCGTTAAGCAGTTCAAAAGGAAAAAAAACTCGTATAAAACATACATATTAGTGTTTAATATGCTCTTTAATATGGTCGTAGAAATGTCCGATAAAAATTTACTGAAGTGTAACTTTTAGCGCTTCGAGAATAGAGGAAGAAAAAAGTATTTTTTTTGCCCCCCCCCTGTATATAGTCTGCTGCGCTGCGAACAAAGCGGTGTGTAAGGTGGAATGAATTGGCGCGGTGCCAAACCCGTTCTCCACCATCTGTTGAAGCCGGTTAAGTACAAAACTGCGTCATATCGTTCGTGTCACTTTACTACCTATGTTGTCGCTATACGCCGCCTTCAAACAACTGGCAGAGATCGGGTTTTGGCTCCGCGCAACATCATAGATGCCTGACACCCCCCTCCCAGCGACGAGAATGAAAATAGAGTGATCTTCTCAGTAATCCTCAAGAATCGTCTTAAGAATGAAAAGTCACCGAGAACAAATCCTGGCTGGTCAAATCCTCTAGGGCTTAACCAGTGGAGAGAGGTGTCAGTGCGTTAGCTAATGCTATGTTCTAGAAACATGTGACTAGACTAAATGTTGTTGTCAGCAGAATTTGTGGATTGAAATATCATACTGGAATGCCCCTCAACTTTCCGGGCAATCATATTCGGACCAGTGCCCTGCACAGTCGGAATTTTGCGGCGAATATTCTCTGGATCACATTTCGCAGCAACCATTTACACATGAGTAAGGCTTCAAACATTGCCATACTGGAGAATTGGAAGAGCGAGAAAGGGCTCATACTTTGGGCAGCGTCCATCAGCGTTTCGAGCGTCCGTCCGCGTCAGCGTCCAGGAAAGTATAGATATCGGTCTAGCTAACGACAGCGTCCACCAGCGCCCACCAACGTCCGCTAGCGGCCATCATCGCCTCAAAGTACTAGGAAAGTGTGGATTTCGATCTAGCGTCTACCAGCGACCAGGAGTACGGTATTGTGGAAAGCGGTGCGTGCACACGTCAGAATTTCACGGCGCTGAATCCAGTTGTCCTCTCTCTCATACTTCCCCATACTCTACCAGTCTACTACCGTCCTACTTCATCATACTCTCTACTCATGGTCGCTGGCGGGCGCTGGTAGACGTTGATGGACGCTGCCGTAGAGTACGAACGCAGCCTAAGTGATTCGCGGACGTGAGAGAGTAGGAAAAACTGCGGAAAAGGATGCATACTTGTTGAACTTCAGAATCGGGAAGTCGGAGAATCAACAATTCTTCGAATCTCTCCAGCCCATTAGTCTGCGGTTATCTCATTATCCAAATCGAGACCTTCTTCTTCGCGTACTTTCCAATGCGTCGATTCTCCGGTGCCCCAGTTGTAATGTAAGAACGCGGTCAAGTTAGTACCAAATGGCTAATTTCAAACTTTTATGTAATTACGGTATTCCCGATGATACTCTATCACTGCACATGAATTACCCAAGTGATCTCATCACTCGGGGAATACATACCTAAATGACCTCTCAACTGGGAGGATGGAATGGAATTTGATGGATGTACATTCTTAGTATTCAAAGACTCGTTATGCCAACCAAATTTCGCCTGAGTACAGAGCTTATCTTAATTCCCTTCCCGGTCACATCACCGTTCAAATAGGGGACTGTACCCTTCCCTTATCTGGTGCTGTCCATCACCATCGGATGCCCCGTCGCTTACTGAGTTCAGTGTTATCAGTTGTTTACCAGTGCTCTGACTCGACATCGGAATCGTGCCTGGAAGTCACTGACAGTAGTTTACGATCAATGCATCAGACTAATAGACATTTTTTTCGAATTTTTTTTCTTTTTAAGGAGGGCGGGGGCAGATCAATAATTAATTTGAAGTGATGAAAAGCCATTCTCTCATTGGTTTCTTTGTCGAAATTGGTTTCTCTTTTTTTCTCTCACTGATTTCCTTTCAGATGAGGATACTATCAATATTCTTCTCTCTGATTTTGCTCTCGTACAGCAAAGTGCTAGGGTGAGACTCTTCTTCTTCTTCACTAAACCATGACGATATTAGCAGATTTATTCCAGCTCACGTCGTCATCGACAACCTGCCACAGAAGGTGAAATTCATGCTCTATTGGTGGCTGGTTCGAATGGCTGGTATAATTATCGTCATCAGGTTGGGAAAATTTCCATTTTTATACGTGACGAAGGACCGGGAGACTTGTCAACCTGAGAAGGGCCACCGGTAAAGCATATCCAACATTTAATTAAGGCGGACGTTGGTCATGCATACCATACCCTGAAGCGCCACGGCCTTGCTGATGAAAACATTATAGTAATGATGTATGACGACATCGCCCACAACAAACAGTGAGTTACTTGTTGTAACTTTGACGATACTTTAGATACAACTTCTTATTTTGAAGGAATCCGTATCCTGGCAAAATGTACAACAGACCACACGGAGACGATATCTACAAAGGACTGAAAATTGATTACAAAGTAACGACATTCCAAATAAGTTTCTTTCTCTGTAAATAGAATATTTGCAGATGAACCAGCTATGTGGAGTGATACTTCCTCAGGTGTGAAGATGTACCATCTTCTCTCTCAAAAGAAAAAATGAAGCTGGCAGAATCACTGCCCACCCCCATTCTCTCGTCTCCTATTCGCAACATGATGGGCACGTCACACGTCATGAGGCAGCGTTCAGACTTCGCGTCGACTGTAACGCGGTCGGCGCCATACAGTTGCGCTACGAAGCTATATACGCGAACGCAGCCGCAGATGGCCTGTGCCGATCGATACCAGACTAGGCAACACTCTACCCTATTCCCTCATATTCTCTAGAAACACAAGCGGCCTATCGATACCCGACTGCGGCTGCGCTCCCGAAGAGAATTGATCGGCGCCGGTCATCTGCAGCCGCGTTTGCGCCTATAACAGTGGAGCGCCGTTGCAACGCTGCCTGTCTAGACCAGAGGTTTGGGATTCAGCAGCAAGAGGGTACGCCCGCGCCTCAGCGTTGAGTAGTAGAGTGTGTCTACGACTGAACGTAAGGCTAGCCGTATGGCGGTGTGCGTTTTTGACACATGCTCTCACGTGCCGTGTGGTGGGCGGTGACATAACCTTAGAGCTTTCACAATGCCCCACGTTTATTTCTCCTCATTTCCGCGCACTTATGAGTGTCAAATGTGGTGCGCAGATCTACCGCTGCT